CCGACGAGGATCCCCCCCCCCCCCCCCCCCCTGTTCCTCGCATGCCCTACACGACTGCGTCTCCCCCGACGCACCTCCTTTTTCGCCTTCAGCCGCGCACGTTGGTGATCGACACGTGGGAAGCGTTCGACGACGACATGACGTTCAATCTTGGAGGTGAGGCCACAAAACCTTTGCTGTACTATGGTGGGAGTCAAAAGGAAGCTGAAGCTCCCGGCACCTCGAGTGACTTCTGTTTCACTTGATCTTCATCTGGTGGGCGGGTGGGACTCTGTTTTTACTGTTCTCGTTGCGGCGGCGGATTGTGCGCTCCGTGCTTCACGCCTCCCGCACTCTCGTTCTATTCCGGAGCCGTTTCGAAAACCGTCTTGGATCATATTCACACGTGTTGCCGCCTATAGGAAATTGACAAAAAGTTTCATCCCCTCCCCAGATTGGACATGGCTGAGTCCAGTTCTTTTACCACCTCGTGCTCCTCACACAGATCTCGTCGTGCCACCAAGCACACGGGCACCTTAAGCAGATCATACCCTCCACCGGAAAGCTGTGTTTTCCCTTTGATTTTGCTTTGGACGCGAGAAATGCCTCACGATCACATCTGAGCTGAACCAGCTTTCTGCTGCTGAGCGCAACCTTTTCAGCTCTTGGGAGCCACCTTTCACCGAGGTTTGCTGAAACACTACGGTCTCCCGATTCGGCCGACACTTGGCCTATCGTAGAGATAAAAGACCATAGAATGAATCCATGATGTGCACGATTAGGGATCTCCACTACAGCGTCCGCGTTTAGCCTGTGAAAGTCGGCCTAAATTCAAGTCTTAACTCCAGTAGTCAGTAGAGTGGCCTCCAGAACGATCATGCGTCCACCTCCGAAAACATCATAGAAATCCAAGCCATGGAAGCACGCAACGGACTTAAAAAACGCGTTTGCTGAATACCTAACCTGAACCAAATCAGACAAAAATTGGTATGTGTGCGTCTTCACATGTGGGCAACGCATAGATGATGTGCACGATTTGGGATCAGCACTACAGCGAGAGTTGTTGCAGAATAACTTAAAGTCCCTCGCGGAAAGACTGCCTCGGGATGCAATTCCAGGATAAGTAATGCCCGCATAAAAAAAAAATATGACAATCTTTCCATAGGCGGCAACACGTGTGTATTGCCGGCAGCCTGGAATGCCGTGGCACAGCAGGAAACCCCCCGCACGCCTTCATGTCTTATTCTTGGGAGCGGCGTGGATTCTTGGGCGTTGCAGGAGACATCGCGGCGTTCGGGTCCGACCTAGGGGTCAGGCAGAGCGTGAGCCTGGAGACCCGGCTGGACTGGTGCCTGGGAGACGCGCAGGAGTGGATCGAACGGGACGGGAAGGAGGAAGCGGACGAAGAGGGAGGAGGAGGAGGAGGAGGAGGAGGAGGAGGAGGAGGAGGAGGAGAAGAAGACGTCCATCGCACCGGGACCACGGAGGCGAGCGCGCCCTGTCGAGTAGTTGGGTGGCCTTTTTTCTTCGGAGGTTTGGCATCCTTGGTGGGGTAGTTCACTACGATGGTGATTTCATGATGACTTCGCACGAGCTTGCTGCAGCTTTGCAGAGGCCCGGGCGCGCGCATTAGCAGGCCGAAAAGGGGCGAGCTCACGAAAAGAAAAGGAGACGTGGGAAGGAGATGAATCGCTGATGAGCTTGGGGGAGAGACGCCGTTTGTTTCGAACTCGGCTCTCTTTTCGGCTTTCGCGCCTTCAACAATCGAAAGTTGGGGAGAAAAAAAATTACGGGGCATGTGGCGAGGACGGAATCTGTAGTCTCAGATGTCGCCTACAACGGACCCAGGTTGCCACCCCCAATTCCTTGGTTTCCTTACCCACATCAACCATGTTATCCGTCCGGTGGACGAGCGAGCATCTACCGGCGGCGCGATGGCTCTCCACCCTTGTAACGCTTCCCATCCCCCCAATTTTTTTGCGCAATCACTGCCGGTACATATCTCTGCAACTCCCTGGACAAACAAAAACGCAGGGGGACGAGGGGAAGGTGGCGACGAGGGGGAGATGGATACTCAAGCCGTCCACCCTCAACAAGGGTGCCGGGTTGGCCCTCGGGGAAGACTTCGAGACCCTCAGGCGGGCGATTCACGACTCCCCCGACATCAGGGAGTGGGTGCTTCAGGTAGGGGGCTCGCGAGCATAAGTCTGTGAGGAAGAGGAAGAGGCACGTATGCATGCATACGGTAGTTTCTGTCTCTGCCGTGCCTTCTGCCCTTGGTGAAACATGACACACTGAGGAAGCGTGCGTGCAAGTTTGAAACCCGGTGATGCTGCGTTTTTTTTTTATCAAACCATAACCATGGTACTTGCCCTTGGCCACGGTACGGTATCGCGTACGGGACGAGCGCAGGAGTACGTGGAGAGGCCGCTGCTGGCGGAGGGGCGCAAGTTTCACCTCCGAGCGTACGCTCTGGCCGGTGAGTACATACATACAACACAACAAGCGCAGCAAGCACTTCATTGCGGTCTTTAATAGTGTGGTTCCTAAGCCACTCGCCACTGTCGACGGCTTTGGCTCCTCAAGGGTAGCCTGGGAACGAATGGACGTGGTCTCGGCACGCAAGCGTTCGAGAAGCAGCTTGTACGCGCGCTCCAGATCGGCCGGTGCCGTGGCTTGCTTGTCCACGCGTCCAGAACGCCAGACCCGTTCATTGCAATTCTGCCGTGCCTCCCTCGCTGCGCTGGACGCAATGTTTCGCCGTGCACGGATCGGCCCCTCCCGCGTAGACTCGTACACTAAATAGTCGTTTTACATCTGACAGGCTCATGACGCCATAAATATTTCCCTTCTCTCCGTGCTGGGTAGTGGGTGCTTATTTCCTCGGGACCTTGTCATCAACGAGGACGCTCTATCCCACGCACGGGACCGCCGGTCTGCCAACATGATACACGAAACCCCCCTAGATCTTCGCAGATCTGTACATACCTGTGAGCACACCTAACATTCCGCTCCGCTTTTTTGGCCCTGCGTCGCCGCGACCGGTATCTATTGATAGTGGGGTGCATCCAGGTGTACGTCTACGACACGGTTCTGCTGCTGCGAGCGGCGAAGCGGTACCCCGCGGCAGGGAGCGGGGGCGGGGGCGACGCGTTTGGGGACGAGGACGCCCTGGCCCACATCACCAACACGGCGAGGCAGTCGGAGGACGCCGCCTTTCGAGAGGAGGACTAGTGAGTTACTCTGACTTGCGTCGGATGATTTCTGCGCGTAGATGCGTTCTTCGTCGCCTCTGGTTGGAGCGCCGTGCCCGCCGCCGGCTTCGTAAGGTGGTTGAAGGCCTTGCCCTTCCGCATCGCTTGCACCGACTGAAAATCACCGTGTTGTGGCATATGCGGTGGCACGGATCGCTTGCCGTTGAGATCGAAGAAGTCGTTTCATCATCAGCTCCTACCCGCCGTGCCCCGTAAATACAACGCGTTGGTTGCACGACTCTAGGGAGTTCGCTCGTAGACTTGAAAACCTCCGACGCTGATACATGCTGCTGCTGCTGCAGTCTCCTTGCAATCGAACCGTAATTCAAGTTGGGATGGCGTCGTACTTGGGGGACATTCTGTCTGTCCACCCGTGTTCGGGGAGGGGCAAAAAAAAAAAACTACGTATTTGATTGCCCACCGCCGCTGCTGCTGCGCCCCCCCCCCCAGAACGCTCCCCCTTGAGACCTTGGTGTTCCTAAATCGAAAAACATCGACCACGGTCTTGACTTTTTTTTCGTCGACAGACCTCTGCTCAACCCACACAAGCCTTTCTTACCACCCACACTCAAAAGAGGTAGAATTACACACGCCTCTTCTCGACGCGCGGGGAGCCGAACGAACCCGGCTGTGAGTCGTGCCAGCGTCAGTCATCCCGTGTAGAGACCGTGAATGATTTATGGCGTTCATCGAATTTTCCGCTATGCCGCCCATTCTGTGTTCAGCGTGTGGGTGTTGGACGATCTGATCGGGGAACTGGAGAGGCAGGGCCGAAGCCCCGAGGACGCCCGGGCAAAGGTGGACGGGATAATGGCGGACATGAGGTCGCTTACCACTGAACTTTTCCGGGTGAGAAGCCTTAAACAGGAGAGCGTGGGTCGCGAGCCGCTGTTGCAGCGCAACCAACGCACCCCGCAGGATAGAAGCCTGACCTGGTTCACGGAGAAGCACGATGCTTGTTTCCCTCGCAGCCACTCCCGGAGAAATGAACAATCCGCACGCCAGCGGGGGTTTAATGTCGAGTTCCACATTTAACCCAGTGGTGGGTGGGGACGGCGTTTAGTCCTTTCGCGGGTACGGTAGACCGAGGAACCCACAGCCACGCAGAACACAGGCTCGAAATATAGGCTAGCCTTGGAAAATGAACTCAGCTCAGCTTTGGGGATCGTGCAACAAGGCAGAAAATGATTTTATCGCCGGCGGCGGCGGCCTCGGCGTTGTTGCATGCGTGCCGCTTTCCCCCAGGCCTTTCGAGGAGAGTTCGCCGTCTTCTCCCCCCTGCCCGGTTGCTTCGAGCACTTCGGCCTGGATTTCTTGGTGGACGAGGACTTCCACGTGTGGCTGCTCGAGGCTAACCCGGGCCCGGACTTTAAGCAGGTACGTCTTTTTCTTTTTTTGTGTGTGCATGCAGGTCTGCAGCTGTTCACTTTCTGCGGCGACCTCTCCCCTTCCGCCATTGTGACCTTGGCGTGAAGCTCTCCCCTTCCGCCATTGTGGCCTTGGCATGAAGAACAGCGTGATCTGAACACGCCCGGCTGGTACCTGAAAATATTTTTCGTGCAGAGATGTATCCCTCCGTCCGCGAGTACGCGAGATACCGCAGTCGCCCGTTTGTGGTGGGTGCAACTGCTCTTGTGTGGCCCCCCTACCCAAGTAAAAACAACCCATGGTCTTCGGGCCTTTTTTTTTGTTTTTTCACTTTCGTTCACTCCATGGTGCACGTGCAAAATAGACGGGATCGAGACTGAAGCCCGTCATCGGGGGTCTCATCGAGGGCTCGATGCGGTTATGCCTGGATGACGTCGCGAGGACGGGCGGCGACAAGAGCGGCGGCGGCCCGGCGGGGGCAAGAAGCGGGTTTTCCCTCGTCCTCGACGAGCAGTGGCGAGGGACCTCGTCGGCGCCGTCCATGAAGATGGTGTAGCGGCGGTACAATAAATAACGGTTGCTCTGTGGTGTGGCACCGCCGCACCCAGTGGTAGGTGAACGAACTGCTGTAGCGATGAAATTCACAGCAGGGGTTGTAAGACCGCCAACGGTGCAGCTCTAGGGTTGGGGTCAGGGTTGGGGTTTATAGAGTGTAGCTCTGCCTCCTGTTTTCTCCTTCGTGTGTGTACGACGAAACTCTTCACGTGGTTGTCAGCGGACGAACGGTCAGCAGATGCGGCTAAATAATCGACCCGCAGAGACGGCGTTTTTGGTATGGTCGTGCCTTTCGTAGCAAAGGGATGAGCTCAGGCCCCCACCGGATGACCGGATGGCAGTTTCTGCATTTCTGGAAGGTGTTGGGTCTGCTGTCTTGAAGTGGGGTCCCCCCCCCCCCGCTCTGGTTGCCAAAATCAACAGTGCATAGCAACAGGCACGCCACCCTGTCTCGACTCTTTTAATGAAGGCTTGCTTTCTGTGGGGCCGTTGTTTTTCTGGCACCGGCGGCGGGGGGGGTCTGGTATGTGAAGTCGCTTGACGGACGGCGTCCCGCGGGAGATAGAGAGCAGCACAAGTGAACCCACAAGATACGAACTTCACAACAACAATCCCAAGCGTGCGAACAACTTGTAGCACTTCATTCGCCCCTCGTACGCTCGGCGTTCACGAGCGTGCCGCATGCAGTATCTCACGAAACTTGTATCAGCACTTCATCAAGCACTCGTATACCCCCCCCCCCTGTACTCGCCGCCCTGGCCCTCGCATGGAGTTTTGAGTCTCCTTCAGTAATCTCGCGCAACTTGACACCCATCACACCGACCCAACACAAACATACTTTCACTGCCTTCCTGCGTTTGTTTGTGCTTACTTGCCTGAAACCCAACCGTTGGACAAAGCAGGGGGTTAGAGTAGTTACACACGCCCTTGTCTTAGCACTTCATTCGACCATCACCGCACGGGCACCGGAGTACTGAGTCTTCTTCCCAAGAACAAGAACTTGTCGAGCAATGACTCCGCCACCATTTTTTTTTTTTGATAAATCAGTCATACGACTACGATATACACCAAAGGAAGAGAGCATCCTACCGTGTACAGCCGACTACGTTTAATGTACAAGAGAGGAACAGAGTGACCTACCCTACAGCCCTAACTACAGTAGACCGATTTTCAAAGCCCGATTGCTCCAATATTTCTACCGATGATGTCTATAAGGAAGGCTCGTCTCGGCGAGATATCTTGCCAAAACCCTTCCTTTTCGACGTCGGTGCCAACGCCCGGCTGTGGAGTAACCTGGGTTGAAAGTCGGCAATGGGCGATTCGCTCTTTGCGAGTTTTTCTACTGTACATCCGAAACAACACCAACAAAACCGTGCAAAGAGTGGCACACGCGCGTACACATGAGAGAACAACCCCCACCTACGACTGAATCACCCCCAACTCGCCATCCCCGCGTGTACGCAACGGGAGGGAGGAAGGGCGGCAGGCCGAACTACGGCAATCTGTAGGTCAATGTACGCAGCCGAGGGACCTGTTTGACTGGGTGGGAGCTCCCAAAAAAACAACTGCAAAGCACCTTAATCAAATCAATCTACTCTGTACACCAAATGCAACCACGCCTCCAATGAGCAGTCAACACATGACACTAGCCGTAGAGAAACATAGTTAAATGGACAAAATCGAGAGAAATTACGTTTAGTCGACATAGAAGAACGCCTTATATCTATACAATTGTCTCCACATAATAACTGTCACAAAAAATCTGCCGAATACACCCCGACTCTCACCAATAGTCTACCTGACACACGCCAAAGACGAAGCGTTTGCTGTAGTAGTTTCTTCGACACCATCACTGAATGAACGAAAATCGTCAAAGAGCACCAAATCTACATCAGCTATTAACAGCTTTTTTTTCCCGGTGTCGCTGCTGCTGCTGCTGCTGCTGCTGCTGTTGCCGCCCCGTAACGCAAGCGAAGGTCACGTCACACGTCAGCCGCAGTTAGTTGCGCTGGCAGTGCGGGACCCGCTACCTCTGCGCCGGTGTCCAACGGCACAAGATACACTTTATTTAGTAAACACGGAAAAAGACACGGCGCGCGGCAATACAATTCTCCATTCCCTGCCGGACAATAAAACATACCACAGACAGCCGCCGGGGGGATTTACATATGTACAACAACCGCATACCACCGTCGGGCAAAAAATTACAACTTGTCGTTCAGGGAAGGCGGTCGCCTGCTGCTTCGGCGCAAAAGAAAACTCTGTGCATGTACCGCACTCCTACGGGGAGTCTGTAGCAGTAAGCAGCACAGAGAGGGAAACCCACAATGAGGACGAAATTTACACACGTACCCCCTACCGTAGAGCACACTACTTATCCGATGCAGCGGACCCGGCACGCCAAAAGGCGGCGAGTTTGCGCCCGTTTCGGGACGAAAATAAACCATCTTCGCGGCCACGGTCGAGCCGTTTCGGGTACCGCTCCCTGCTTTGGACTTTGGACGCCCTCTCCTCCGCCAAAAATACTCCGTCCCTTACCAAAAGTGGTAGTTTTCAGAAGAAATTTGGCCTGGCGTTGTTGTTGCAACAACCTCTTGTTGCTCGTGTTTGCAGTGTTGTTTGTCGTGTGTCGCGGTGGCGGGGACAATACCTGTCAGCTGCCGCTCCTATTCATGGGTGTGGGGTCGCCAGCAGTAGCCTCGTGCAATCGCCGCCGCCGCCGCCGCCGCCGCCGCTGCTGATGCTCTGAGTCTAATCGCATATTTTGGCAGAGCCTTTGCCCTCGCTACCCCTGCGCTGCGAAAAGCTGGTCATGAGCACGCTGGTGTCGAAGAGGCTGGTCGTGAGCAGGCAAAGCCCCGACAGCCGGAAGGACGTGATCGCAGCCCCCGACTTGGTCTGCCGAGGAGGGGCACGAACCGGAGAGAGGGGGGGCAGGATAACGGGGAGAGGGGGCGAGGTAAAGGGGGTGCCGGCGGCGGAAGACAACATCATCACCGCAGATGCAGCTATTAAAGGGGCAATAGTCTACGCAGCAAAATTGATTAAGCAAACGCATGGGATGAACTATTCAATCCGTGCTTTGGGGTTAGGGGCAGGGTTAGGGATAGGGTTTGCGTGCCCCCTCCCTATTAGTTTTCTAGATACTCTTAAAATCCTGCGTAGGCGGTCCTAGAGGGGAGGGATGCCGGCGCAAACCTTGCTTGAGATTCCCAGGTCAAAAACGAAACGCCTTTGCACATAACTCCTGCCGCAGACCCCACATCGCAACCAATAGCATGCAGCACATCATTCGCCTGGGTACGCGGCATGCACACGGGCACAGCCACGCACGTCTTACGATGCCCAGCAACAACAAAAAAAAAGCAGAAATGCAAAAAAATAAGAAATCATCCATGCCGGAATCTTTTTTGTGGGTGAGATGTTACAACGTTGTTTTTGAAAGGAAAAAAGAAAAAACAAGCCCTTCTCACCTCCAGCTCGCGAACGCACAGTCCCGTCCTCGAGTCCCAGAGACGGATGACATAGTCCCCCGAGCAGGTGACGATCCAGGGCCCTACCATGTCAAGCCGGCGGATGGGCCGCTGGTGCTCGCAGAAGCGAGCCCTCGCCAGCCGCGGCCTCTGGCCCTTGCGCAGCGACCACACGGACACGTGGCGGTCTTCTCCGACAACGATGGTGTCCCTGTAGGCCTGGGGTGGGTGGGGTGGGTGGGGGGGGTGGGGGCGTAAGGTAGGTCGTTGGTTCGTATCGGTGCCTAAATCATGGCTGGTTCAGGTTTTGCGCCAAGGGGAAAACGTCTAAAGAGGGCGGGACAACAACTACTACCGCTGCAAGTATCACCGCCGCCGCGAAAGCCAGCCTACATTCAGCGAACACGCTTCTCGTCTACACGCGGGCACATGGCAACGACGCGGACGGCGGCGGCGAGAACGAACGGCGGCTCTCGCGAGGGTATGAATATTCATCCATGCGGCAGAGAGGGGGGTTTCGCAACCCTAACCTCCAACAACCCACACCCGTATCCCCCTACTAAACCAAGCTCAGCCTAGCTCCCAACCCACACCCGTATCCCCCTACTAAACCAAGCTCAGCCTAACTCCCAACCCACACCCGTAGCCCCTGCTAAAACCAAGCAACCCTAACCCTTAAGCCCAACCCCCAACCCACACCAGTATTCCCTACCGAAACCCAAACCCGAAATACCTCGTTAAGGCTTACCTGGAGGCAGCCGACGCGGGGTCCCGGACCACCGGGGTTGATCACCAGGCCAGCCCCGGTCTCGAGCTTCTCCAAGCAGCGCCCGGTCGTGAGCTGAATGGGCGCGAGGGGGGCGTGCAATGTGCGTTTTTAACCCGGGGAGCGGCAACCCAGGTTCAGGGGGGGGGGGGGGGGGGGGGGCGACTCCACAAACATGACACATACGCGAGGGAAAAAGGAAAGCAGTGGGGACGGCACAGGGAGCCAACAACTTCAAGCACGCCGATCGTCGGATGCTAAGCAAGAGTACTCAACTAACCCGTGAGCCAGAAAAGTCGCTTGCAGCTCCTTGCGGACGGACGCCCGTCGGCGTCTCAAAAAGGCCGACTAGAACACAATTCACTACGAAAAATACTGCCTGTAGTTGTGGAACGCTCTGCAAAGAACGCAGTAGAGCCGAAAACTCACCTCCCAGACGATGACGGCGCTGTCCCCTCCCCCCGTCACGAGCACGGGGCCGTAGCTCTGGCGAGACCGAGACAAAAACGAGCACGGCCGCGGAGGGCGGCAGGAGCAGCCAGTGAAGACACAAGCGGGTTAAATTATCTTCCTTGGGTAAACGCCGAGACATCGCGCCGCCTGGTGCAGGCCAGTGCGTGTGCTTCAGAAAAGCTGCGAACCCCCGCCGACCATTGCAAACTGGAAATCACGACCAGCGAACAACAACAGCAGCATATGCTACAGGAGCATCTGGACAAGACCCATTCCCGTGCACGGCGGCAGGAGGTTTTGGCAACATTCTAAAGGGAGTGTGCTCAAGAGACGAGACACCATCGACCAGCATTTCGACCGCCCAACACCCAGCACATCCAAGATGCACACACACACACACACACACACACACACACACACACACGCACACACACACACACACGTACCCACCCACCCACACACACACACACACACACACACACGCACACAGGGTCTCCCCAAGAGGCTCACCTCGGTGAGGGTGGCCTGGAGGCAGGTGACGCCGCGGGTGTGCCCGGCGTACAGGCACACGAACCTCCCGCTCCGCGCGTCCCAGGCCTTGGCGGTACCGTCATCGGACGCCGTGAACAACAACACCTCCCTCTGCTCTCCGCCAGCTCCGCCCTTTCCATCGTCCGGCCGTTGGCCCACGAACGGGTCGTTCTCTTCTCCGCCCTTCTCCTCGCTCCAGGCATTGGGGGCGCCGTGGTTGTTGCCGTCGTCGAAGGCCCACCCCGCCCGATCAATCCCCCTCCCCCTCCCCTGCATGCGTGTGCCACCGCCGACAGCGGCACCAGCAGGCTCATAAGCCTGGCCCCGCCCTGCGTACCCCTGCCGCTTCCCAAGCCGCGACAACGGCTCGCCGGTCCCACCCCCGTGGGAAGATCCCCGCCGCAGGCGGTTGAACTCTACGCCGAGGTCGGCGGCGCTCGCCGGGGATTCGCCCAAGGCACCGGTTCCGCCACCAATCCCGTGCTGCTGCCGGCTGCCCGCGCCTTCTCCCGCTGCCCCCCAAGACGCGTGCGGCGGGGGAGAATAAGAAGAAGCACCGCTGTTGCCGTAGAGGTGGCGCTGTGGAAGGAGCGGCTGCGCCCCCTCTCCGCTTTCGCTCTCCTCTTCTTGCCACCCTTCGCCCCAGCCGTGGCCCTGGTCCCACCGCCCCCGCTGACCGCCGCCCCGGCCCCAGGCACCACCCTCGCCTTCCGCCGCGGGGCTCCTGTAGCAGCCACCGCTGCCGCCGCCAGGCTGTTCTGCTACAGGGCTGTCGGCGGCGGCGGTGTTGCCGACGGGGAGAGTGAAGGAGTCGATGGCGGTGACGCGGTCGGCGTGGGCGCGGATCTCGTGCAGGGGCCTTCCTCCGCCGGGCACGCTCACGTCGTAAGACCTGCCGTCGCCCATCGCGCGCGTGGTGACAAAGGTACACGTGTCGTCGTCGAAGTAACAAAAAGGCGGGTGGAAGTGATGGGTATATACCGCTTCGGACATCATACATAGTCAGTCCCCCCCCTCCAACCCGTAGACCCCTACGGCATGACATACAGGATCAGGCCAGCTGACTTCACCGCTCTCGAGTTCTCCACACAGCAGAATAAACGGGAGTCTCGGCGCTTGCCCAGGAAAGCATCTACGCTTTTTGCTTTTTTCCTGGACACAACTTGCCGAGAGGATCCCGAAGACGTGGTGTCTAACTACAGTACGCCCGCCGTTCGATATTGCGCCTCCCTAGGATCTCCTTCCCGGCTTTGCAGGGATGCGAGGTCAATGGTCTAACGACTACGGCATGCACGGCTATGAGTACACCGCGCGCCCAGAGAAGAGCTATCTACCTCCAATGGAACCCGGGTCAAATGAGCGTGCAGCGTTTCTCCCCGATCGCCCCGAAAGAAAAACAAACATGCGGCCGCCGGCCGCCTGTGTGTGTACATACCTGAGATATCCGCTGTTGTCTCCCGCGAGCAAGGTGCCGCTTCGCAGGAGCAAGCACGTAACGCTCCCGTGCCCGCTCACCTGTGCCGCGCAAGGCCGTCCCATTTTTGTCCGTAGGAAAAAAACAAATGAGAACGTCCATCGAAAATTTGTGGCAATGGTGGCCGGTCGGGGAGCGGACAGCACTAAATAGAGAGGGTCAAGGCAAGAGTTCGTGTACGAACGGCGTCCAAGTGCTCTGGTGTATCTCGTTCCGCGGGAGAAAAAAAACAGCAGCACCGCCGTACTCCTCTCTAAACAGCGCTAGAGAAGGAGAGCCTGTTCGTGCGGCCACGGGGGCCGACAGATCGATCGAGTGCGGAAAATAGAGTACTGTATTTGGCACAGCCTGCTGACGGCCTTCAGCAACCACAACCCGCTGCCGAGACCACCAAGAAAGAGAAAGCGAGATAGAGAGATAAGGAGAGAGAGAGACACACAGAGAGAGAGAGAAAGAGAGAGAGACAAACAGACAGACAGAACGCTCGGAGGGATATCCTCACCTTGAAACGCGCCCGCGGGGCCGACGCCCCCTCCATGTCCCACACCGTGATCTCGGGCCCTGGATGGGTTTCCAATTGCAGGTGGCATTCGAGCGGGGTTCGGAAGTGGCGCGGCGGGCGGGCGGGAAAAGGGACGGGTTTATATCCCGCCAACCGTGGCCATGGTACAACTAAATATTTTTTGTTTACTTAGTCATCCCATTTCTTCTGGACGTCGATCCTTTACACCGTTCAGTACAATTCTGGATGCACCAGCCGACGTAAAGGCCACACACAGGAGGAAGGCCACACAGGACCAGGACATGTATATTCCTCCTTCTTCCCACCTATTACACGAGAAAATGTTCGCTCTTGCTCACCGTGCTTGCCGCCTTGCCAAGCGCGCTTACGTCAGAAGAGGCACACACACATCCACCGCCCATATAGAAGGCTCCCTACTAGGATTACCCCTTTCTACACCCGACGCGTGACGCTAAAGCACAAGATCGAACCATCGTCATCTGTGTACCGTGGCCGATGGTGAAAATGCCCTCTGAAGCGAGAATAACCCCGAAAAATACCCCGGCCTGTAGTACGCTACATAGCACCCCCAAAAAATGAGTGTGCCAGCGAAGAGCGCGGAAAAAAAATATTCCCACCTGCCGCGGTGGCAATAACCGCTCCGTTGATGGCCATGCAGGAGATGTGCACCGGGAATCCGGCAGCCACTGCTACCGCTCCTCCTCCAGCGGGCCCCTCTTCGCCGCGAGCACCTCCATGACCCTGATCACGGCCACCGCCGGTGGCCGTTGCCTCCCCCACGCGTCGCCGGCTGGCCGTTCTCGTCGGCGATGAGGGCTCGCTGACCGCCACCCTCGTCTACCGTGGGACGGCGGTGGTGACGATCGTCGTTGTTGGGGGCGTGAGTTCGGAGCGCAAGGATAGGAGGGGGGGGGGGAAGGGGATAACACATCAGCCCCTTTCCATTTCCGACCGACCACCGGGCATAAGCAGCGAATCACCGCTCGCCGTCTGACAAAGGAAACGAAAAACATACTGAACTCTGTTGGCACACGCAAACACACCAACAAGAAAAAAAACACAAAAAAAAACATACACAGCAGCACCTGCTCGACTTCGCCCTTCGCCAGGAGCCAAAGCGCAACGTGTGCCGCCTTCTCGCCGCGTAGAAACCCACCGGGGAGGGGTCCCTCCCAGAGAGAGACCCAGAGCCGCTCGTCGTCTGCGGTGTCGCGGAGACCACGGCACGCACAGCCCGCGCGGCCGAGGCCCTTGACGTCAAGGTTCCCTGTGTGTATGTGTGTGCGTGTGCGGCGAAAAAAATATTGGGTGTCAGGCAAAAGGGGGTTTTGGAGGTGGCCGCGTTGTTGTGACGCCCAGGTTCCCTGTGTGTGTGTGCGGCGAAAAAAACATATTGAGTGTCGGGCATAAAAGGGGTTTTGCAGGCGGCCGCGTTGTTTTGACGGCCAGGTCCCCTGTGGGTGTGTGCGGCGACAAAAGGTTGGGAATTACAGCAAAAAATGGGTATTGAAGGTGGCCGCGTTGGCTTGACGCCCAGGTTCCCTCAGGTTCTCTGTGGATAAGAGGCGACACACGATTGGAAACTAGGGTTGTGGAGGACGCCGCGATGTTCTCTACAACATCGGGTTTACTGGCGAAGGCGGTAGATGGCGTCTGCGGATTGTTTCCGAGGTGGTTTGCACCAGGAGGGGTCGAATTAGACGGGGGGTCTGGGAAGGGAGGGAGACGGGGGAAAAGGCACCTCCCATTCGCTAATACATGAACAAGTAAGGTTGAGGGTTGAAGTTCAGGCAAGCATCCTTCGAAGCGACGTCGGCAGGAAGTAGTCATCCCGCCGGCAGAAACAAAAAGGTCCCCGAAACGACAGGAAGAAGCCGCGAGGGGTTCGCCACGATGGGATGTCGAAAAAACAGCAAAACAACGTTTACCAGGAGACGTTCATGCCGCGTTTGACATGTCCCGGAGTCAAAAACACGAGTTGCTGACTTGTCGCTTCGGCGCTGTGGGTTGCAAGGATAAAGCTGTGGGTTGAAGGGATATTTAACCTCTCCTTGTCTTGTAACGCCGACAAAGCAGCGCGACATGTTTCCTGAAATGAAAAAAACACATGTACCGCTACACACTTACCCAAGATCTCCGACAGCATAGCATCAGGAAGAGCTAGCAGCATCCGCCCCTGGCCACCGATGGCACCATCCCCTTCCCCCGCTTCCGCCGCCGCCGCCGCCGGGCATCCACCCGCCATCTTCTCGCTCTCGTCGACACCGCTTTTGTTGCCATACGCGGAGCTGCTGTTGTCGCTGCCGCAGACGTCTTGCAAAGGGTCACGGTCCATCCGCATCGTGCCCATTATTGCCTGTTGCCGTCTCTCCGCCACCGCTCTCCTAACGCTGTCCGCCGTAAGTTTATGCGCCGAAACTGCGTTCAGGCGGGTTGGGGTGAGTTCTTCTATCTCCGTGAACGCTGTTCTGTGGGAGATTGTCACTGAAAAGGCGAGCAACAGGAGCGGGCAGATAGTAGAAATGTTCAGGGCAAGCGGGGAATCGGGACACACAAGCAATTTCGTTTGGGTCCGTTTGTCTTTCGCAGCAGCAACTGCTGCGATTGATTGTCGTCGCACGCAATCTCTCGTGGGCGTGTATTCACTGGTACAATGTTTTACACTGGTGCAAGCTGCTCTAACGAAAGACAGATGCAAGTGGCGCCGGTTCCGCTGCATCGCGTCCGGCCGAGGCTTTCGGGCAGCGCCGTGAAGGAGCACCGCAGCTGCTTACCGAGGACGACGGCTTCGTCTGTCGACCGTCGACAGAGGGCAACGTTCCCGACTGCCCTTCTCTGTGCACCCTCGGGTAGTTGTAAACACAGGCACAACGCAATTTGCTGATGATCTGATCGGCGTGTGTCACACTGGCGTGGTACTACTGCAAGGCGCACTCCTCCCGCAGCAGGCGGACAAACTGCGTCAACTTTAGGTTGCATGAACATTTTCTTGGTGAAAATATGCGCAACTCGCCGCCTCCAAAGCTAACTGCCCGGTCGATTTATCCCTCCGACACAAATTGTACCGGGTGATTGTCTCTGTGTACTGTAGTCGACAATTCGAAGAACTGACACACGCTTCCATCTGTTCTGAGTGCCATTCACCCGCTTTTCCGGGAAGTTTCAGAACAGGAACGATATTTCTAAAAAAAAACCTGCGGGCCTGATAAACCTGACGGGGCGGACGTTTACCACGGGTTGACATGAGGCGAGCATGTTTCAGGCTTGCTTGCGACCGCAATCTCGGAAAAAGTGTATCTTTGAACGGCACGTGACGAGTCCACATGACGGGGAATGAGCCCTCACTGCTGTCATCTGCTTTGCACCACGGTAAAACCTTTACGATACAACTCCTAGCCTGCGTCTGTTTTGCGCATCATGCTCATCTTTTCTTCGTACAGGACAGATTTGTTTCTTGCCGTGGGCAAACGTTGCCGGACAAACCGAAGAAAAAAAGAGTCAGTTGTTCGTCGTTTCAGGTCGCGTTCTTGAACACAAGCAGTGCAGGCTGATATACACATCAAATTGATGACGTATGCATGCTCAATCTCCAGGCACTGTGGGTGCCAAGACCATTAGGTCAACGTGGGCGAGGTGGTCAACAGAGAGGGTGCGCAACGGTGGGTGCACGGAGAGAGCCTGTGATCTTTCCGATATGCGGCGCAATTAACCCTTCGCAGCAGTAGTGCAAACATTTTCTCTTTCAAAACGTCGCCGTATACAAGAGGCATACGTGACTCCGTGGAAAAAGTGTGGGGTGAGATGACCCAGTGATAGGGGAAGTGCACTAGCAAGCCCTGGGTGCACATTGCCGACGCACAAGCCGTGATTTCTGCTTGTTTGCGATGAGCTTGATCAACTGCTACATTGAGAGTTGAAGTCGTCGACATGTAGAAATACGTCTACATCGGGAAGTTGACGCGCGAAACCCCCCGTTTTTCATCTGAGGTGTCATGACCTGCTGCAGTTCCGAAGGAACACAGCAGAACGGATTCCGTCCTCTACCAGGTGCCTCTGTCTATGGCAGTCGCTTTGCACACCGGCCACGTGGGTGTGGATCAAACGACCAGTTTTACGAACAGATTGGCTGACGGTTCCGCCGTTTCTCGACTTCAAAAAACTCATACTTTCCCAAACAAACCCCACCGCGTTCAAGACACCCGCCTCCGTTCAAACCACCGACGTGCCCTCCCCCCCCCCCTCCCCCCTCTCTCTCTTACCTTTGATATATCTGTGCCCTTCAATGAGAGGTGAGCACGCTCCAGCGGGAATGAAGAGAGGGGGGCAAGCGCAAGACACAGAGAGCGAGCGGGCTCACTGAACAAGAAAAAAAGATGGCGCGGAGAGTTTGGGGCTCCGTGAATGAAAGGTGATGATGTCATCGACCGCCACGCGGGCGAGTCGGGAGACCGGGGAGAGCTCTCACACAGCACTCTCCTCCACATCACACTGCGTACTAGCGTTGCCCGATCCTGATCACGCCTGAAAGATGCGTGCCGCAGCCGTGCAATGGGACTTATCTAGCATGGGACCGGAAGAGCTGCTTTCTGAGGGCACGATCTTCTTTCTGGCGAAGGTGAGAGTTGAGCAAAGTTTTGAAATTCGTCTCTCGCGTACACAGCAGCAGCAGTATGTAGTCTGCTGTAGATCTCGTCATCGTTGCTCATGTTTTGCCCTCCCTCTCGCTGCTGGACACCCCCGCGACACACCGACGGGCCTTGGAAAGGCATGCATACCCCTGACGAAAGCCAATTACGATCATGTAGCCTAGGCTGGAGTCTTTACAGCACGGCGACTGAAACCTCAGTGCGACAAGTGTGATAAATCCGTGAGGTGCTGGACCTGGTATGGACCAAATTTTGAAACACGTCAACCCCCACGCAGACGGCGTCATGTACCTGTACCCTGCTGCGACGCGCCTACGCTCTGTCTTTAGTTACACGGGCCCATGACACCGCTCGCTTCGAACAGACTCCTTGCTGGTGTTCGCGTTGGCAAGGAGCATGCTCGATCGCCTAGGCTGGACTTGAGCGCGGCGCTACAGCAGCTCGATGTCCATGACACGTGCGCATACGTCTGCTGCCCGAATGCAACCATTGACTAAAATATTACTTACGCCATTACAGGGGGGTTGGGGTGGCGGCATGTTGTTCTTCCTTTCTTCGTTTCTTTTCTCTCTTGCTTTAGAGTCTAGTTTAAGCATCTGCTGTCTGTCTTGTTGGGGCTGTCACCTGTTGCCCCACAGAGAAGCTATTTGTGTATGTTTTTCGAGGGAGTACAGTAGGACTGTAGACACACGACGGATACAATATTATAGTAGGTGCGTTTGTCCTCTCTTCCAGCAGAAGATATACCGCATGTAGTACAAGGTGTAATAGCAGTATTATAGTAATGTACCGAAATATTCCTGGGCGCTGGAACGGTAGTCTAAGTCAATGAACCCTCTCTGTACAAATGAATGACGTGCCAGCTGGGGCCATGCATTGACACTTGGAGTTTTGTTTTTTCTCCACCTTCCATCTAGCGGTGCTGTCTTGCAACGAACTTTCAGCTCTCTGACATCCGAGACCCCACCGCTCCGCCCTTCGTCCTAGCGGTGCTTCTTGCCATTAACTTTCAACGGGAAAAGGGTTCATTCAAGACGTCCTTGTTTCGCGTCTATGGTTTTGTGCTGAAACGCTCGCGACCAACCCCACCGGGGTCGTTGTTATAGCTCCCGAGCTGGGTGCATACTCGGGGGCTTGCTTGTTGTTCTCGATGCCTTGTCGCCTTAGGCGTGGCCCACTCCCTCTCGCGAGAAAAGTTCAACACAATCGTTCCGTGATTTGAAGCCAAGCGATCCCTTCACGTACAGGTTCCCTATGACTATTTACTCCGTGGTGCAGCATTCAATTGACCGGTGTACGAACACACAATAAAATGAGCGAAATTCGAGGTAGACGTTTCCTCTTCTATTGTCGCCATTCCCGTGACTAACCGTCGCTGGCGACTTCAGCCTTTCCTGCCTCCTTCAACTCTAGCTCAAGACCGGATCGCACCCAAGATCTTGGCCTATGCACCTCATCCAACGCTTGAAAGCAGTAGTAACCAACGCCCGAGCCCACAGGAAATACAATTTAGACGCCGCGAGCCAAGATATTTCGAGATTTCACCTTGCACTGATTCTGCTACTGCTGTGGTTGTATATCGAACGGCTATAGTGTTTTTCTGTGATTAACTGAATGTTTTCTGAGACAAAAACTGTGGCTTGAAATACGTACTACTTCACTGCTGTCGCGTGCCGTGATTGAAAACCGGCCTGGTGCCCAGGTGCTAGCGGCCGCCAGCGTGGTGGCCTTCGGCCCCGCTTTGGTCCTGGAGTACGTGCCCACATCCAAGGTCGACGTCCGGGATGTGTGCAGTGCAGGTTCCCAAGCGGGACGGGTGAGAGAAGGGGTATTATTAAAGTAGACACACGAGGGGATGCGGGTCAACCGGGCATCGGTTGCGAGGGGATGCGGGTCAACCGGGCATCGGTTGCGTTGCTTTGGGCTTCGCTTTTTGGTCGAGCTCTTCGATTTGGTTGGGTGCCTCCCTCAATTCACTCAGCGGCCCCGCCACACTCGGATGAGAGAGGGTTCGCTTCGTTTCCTTAGGTCTCAAGAGAAGAACCGCTTCCAACATTGTTCTTCTCGTTGTGTTTTTGACGAGGGGAGGCTTGCGCGGACTGCGCGACTGGCGGGAGGGTGCCGTGCCGAGGTGTACCATCGCACGGGCAGGGCCACGCGGTTGGCTAAGTTGGTTTCGCAATGATGATTTTTTTACGGGTTGGGGGGGGGGGGCGTTGTGTCAGCACTTCGAATTGGAGCATGTGTTCCGCAGTTTTTTAGCAACGGCAAACTGTTTATTACCCAAAGCAACACATGAGTTATTTATCGTAGGAAAGGAACACCAGAAAACAAAACTTCCCAGCGAGGAGGGCGGCGGTGGTGCTCGTTTGCTTTGTCTCTACCCCAAGGTTCACATGTGCGTAGTTGTTTCCCTTCACAGCCGTACAGGGTTCCACTTGGTCCCCCCACTCCCCCCCCCCGGGCCCGGGCCAAACCCGCCCCCCCCGCTTGCCTTCCCGGGGGGGGGGCTCCTGGCCCAAGGCCCCCTCCACCTCCTGGCCCCCCTCTTTCTGGCCAAGCACGAACACCACAACCATGGGCCCCAAAGCCCGGCCCAACCCTGCACCCCCCTCCCAATGGGCCTCCCGGC